CCACGCCATCTTAGGGGTTGAGGAACTCGCACAACAGGCCGCCCGCGCCGCTTCTTCGACGGCGGTGACGAGAGGCAGCTGCTGCTGCGATGTCAGGGCACGGTCGGGCCGCGGGGTTCCAGACTGTGCAAGCTGGGTGTTCGTAACTGTTGGTGATGGTCCTTCAGTAAATGGTCCTCTCTTCGGGTGCTCTTCGCCAGCCGTGCAGTTGGTGTCACCATGTTTTCTTGAGTCTGCGGGTGTGGTCGAGGTGACCGTTGATTTCATATCGTTTCTGGTTTTGTCGTGTCCGGCATTGGCTGATTTGCTTCCTTCAGCAGATGATTGCCCGTGAGAGTGGAACGTCCATCCCGGCACTGAGAGGGTGTCCTGAACAGCCGTGTCCGGTTCTGTGGGAGCAGGACGTCGGGCTGTGGCCGGAGGTGGCTGTGGCTGACATTTCCGCTCTGACGCTCGGACAGGGACATTTCCAGCGTGCATCCTCAAACGCTTCCGGGACTTGATGGTCTTTATCAAAATATTGATATGAGAGAAACCGATGATAGCGAATCCCAACGTATATTCCAAGAGTAGTGAGATGAATGTTTCTAGTCGTCTTTTCCGGTTTGCGACGAGTCTGATGGGCCAATTGTCAGGCGTCCAGGCAAACACCGTCGAGCACTTGCCGTAGGCTTCCTTTCTTCCCAGCATGAAGTTAATGATACCCGGCAGCACGGCGACAGCAGTGAAGATCAGAATGTTGCGGCGCACCGCCGGGTAGCTGTGATTTCTGATCACGATCAGATAATGGAGAAACGTGATTGTCACGATGGTTCCGAAGTTGATTGATCTTGTGACTTGAATAGAGTAATAGCGTATGAAGCAGTGAAGCGTCTCATTGATGTGACCGTTTAAAGTTTCGACGATAGGGAAAAGCACCCATAGGATGCTGTTCAGGCAAAGCAAAGAGGTCAGGTAGTTGACCAAGGTATGCAGTCGTCGATTCAGAATAATGATCAAAATGACCATAAGGTTTAGTGTGATGGCCATAAGGACGCTGAAGGCGACCACCGATATGAAGACCGCATACATGGCCGTCGGGTCATCATCGTCCTCTGCCGACCTCAGCTGGCAGACGTCCCTCGTGCTGTTGTCCGGCTGGGTAGTGACGTAGCAGAGGAGCAGCTCCTGAACGCGCCGGACGCACTCGGGGGAGAGTTTGTCCCAGAGCGCCGCTCCGGACATTGTGTCACCTCGGCGACCGACGCGCGACTGACCCGCCACGGCACCCGACCGCCGTCTCCTTCGCTGTGATTGATCTCCAACTACCAATGCTGACGTACGATTTGTTAGAAGAGATCCAATCATTTTTGAACGGTCATAGTGCAGCTCACGCACATTGAAAAGGAGGCACTGTGAAAGAAAATAATCAGGCATAGAACTCTATAGTTATAAAGAAGTCAATACATCAGGTGATTTCGATCAAGCCTTTTCACCTGACACGTTTTTTATCGGCAATGTGCGATAACAATAACAGAAGGACTTTGAAAATAGCAACTATGCAATGTGTCTTGAGGCATGTAACTGCTTATACACGTACCATAGGTTTTTTTTTTTACTCATCTTTTCTTTGGGTAACGATTTTCGTACTACGATGGACATTGGACACCGGACAGCCATGTCTCCAAAGGGATGGTCCGAAAAGCACATAAAACGAATGTAGTTCTAGCCACATCAAACAGACGTCAGTCCCCTCTTGTCCATCAGTACCAGCATCGATATCCAGTATCCACCTCCCTCAGAACACGGACACCTCGTCAGCAGTCGACGGAGGTGTTTGTCGGCGCACTGCGCGTGCACTGACCGTGTAAATACGACACAAAAAGGTCACAAACAGCGCAGTGACGGATGCGGTGCTGGCAGTGCGGTGGCGTCCAGTGACGTCCAGTGATCAGTGACGAGGTCGGAGGCATTGGTCACCGAGCCGCACCCGCGCACAGCGGCTCCTCCGCGTCCGCGCCCCGCACACCGCCACGCAGACCCCGCGGCACGGCGCGGCGGTGGACGACTCCACGGATCGTCATCTGTTTTACCCGTTATCTCCACGGGCCGTTACTATTTAGGGGTCCACGTCAAAACAGCTAGTGACTATTGAGCTAGTGACTTTTGAGCTAGTACAAAAGAGCTAGTGCTTCAAAACAGCTAGTGACAAAACAGCTAGCGCCAAAATAGCTAGTAATGCAAAATAGCTAGTGCATCAAATCAGCTAGTGACAAAACAGCTAGCGTCAATATAGCTACTATGGACGTCAAACCCCTTGAGACCCCACTTTTTTGCGATAATTTTTTAATGCGTCAACTCTCGTTGACAATATTCTGGCAATGTGTGTTTCAGAACCTGCCGAAACTTTTATTACTAAGGTATTTTGACGCTAAACGATTATGAAAGGTACTTCTCATTCACTCGTAATGTTAAATTTCACGGAACGAATCTGCTGTTTGGGTAGAGGCTACGCGCTCCTGGGGCGGAGCCACGTAATGACGTCAGCGCTAAGCTCCGCCCTACCCCTCCGGCGCTCCTTTCCCGGCGACCGGTCACTCGCGTCTCTCGCTCCATTCAGGCTTGATGGTGGGCGGTAGCTGGTAGCGGTAGCGGGCGCTGGTAGATGGCATTTAGAGCAGATGGCGCTGGTGGCGGGGCTCGAGTGTGGCCGAGCCCAAGCCTCTGCCCGGGCCTGAATTGACCTTAACATTACGAGTGAATGAGAAGTACCTTCCATAATCGTTTGGCGTCAAAATACCTTAGTAATAAAAGTTTCGGCAGGTTCTGAAACATGCATTGCCAGAATATTGTCAACGAAAGTTGACGCATTTAAAAATTATCGCAAAAAAGTGGGGTCTCAAGGGGTTTGACGTTCATAGTAGTAGAGCAAAATATAGCTAGTGCTTCATTATAGCTACTGACAAAATCGCTAGCTTCGAAATAACTAATGAAGCAAAGTAGCGGATTTGTACTAAGTACGAGCAGCTATTATAGATTCTTTCCCGATGAATCCTTAGATACTTTCCCGACGACGAGTCCCGACCGGTAGAAGGAACAGAAGAGCACCGTTGTTTGACACAATTATTTGGAATGTTAGAAGGACAGAGCTGGACGGGATCCCTAGGACAAGCAACAAATTAGAAGCGTGGCACCGGGGAATTCAAGGCATGTTTGACTCATCACAACTATCATTATTGTGATTTTTCACCGTCATCCAAATCAAGTGGCCAGGATGTTCCACACAGAGACATTAATGTCAGATTAGTTAGACCCTGTTCTTAGACCCTACAGGGAAGGCATTATTAGCAAAACAAGAATTCATTCGGGGAGTAGGTTTCAACATCACTTTGAATGTTTGAGATGGCATATCGCGGGAAAAACATATTTACAGTAATAGATATCTTGCATTTTCGAAGCGAAGTGAATGGGAAGGGAACAGAGGTCCAACGAAATAGCAATTTTGGCGATAGCTTTTTCGTCACTAGCTGTTTTGAAGCACTATAAATAATTATATATATTATATATTATATATATATATATTATATAATTATATATTATATAATTATAGCTCTTTTGTTTCACTAGCTGCTTTAACGCTAGCTGTTTTGTCACTAGCTGTTTTTATGCACTAGCTATTTTGCTTCACTAGCTATTTTGACGCTAGCTGTTTTTTCACTAGCTGTTTTGAAGCACTAGCTGTTTTGTACTAGCTCAAATGTCACTAGCTCAAATGTCACTAGCTATTCTGACGTGCACCCACTATTTAGCGTGTTCACCAGGTATTTCGTCTCTGGGTGTTATGGATGTACCGCACTGAATGGCTGCCAACGGTATATTCCAATATGTAATATTGATATTGCTGATGATCTCATTTTATCACTTTGCATTGCAGCTGTGATGGCAACACTTTACACTGCAATGCGAATTGCCCAGCCGCCGCAATCTACCTTTGGCCTCTCGCTCGACCCAGTCTGACCCAGCCACTCGGGTGCCGAGCTTGTGTTATTCTGAGCAAGCCGACTCATCGAATGCGTGCGAATTTGCTCTTCTAGAGGTAGGAGTTCTCAAAAAGACGATTTCTAGAGAGCGTCTGATCTTTGGCTTGAATGCATGATCAAAATATACCAGCGCTGTTGGCTGGCGGAATAATGCGGATTATCTCCAGGAGACTGGACTGAAACGACGACCGTCTGGTGCTTTGCTATAGGGCTAAACCTATCCCGTTGGCACGGTAGTGTCCCTACAGTCCCGGCGTGACATTACAGACCAGCACCACCGCTAAAACTGTCATCCCGAATCCGAATGCCTTGCCTTACTCCATCAAAAGTCGCTTTTTTCTCTCTGTTGGGAGAAAGCGCTTTCGGCTTGAAAAGACCATTGCAAGGTTATATGATGATATGATGGGGTGTGGACATTGGACTGTGCGACCACCGACGCGACAGTGAGCCGCAGCGGTAGAGACTGTCCCGGCGCGGTGGGACGGGAATGTCCCGAATCCGATGGGACAGCCCGCCCTGCCGCTCAAACGGTCACCCCGGAGAGGGAGTGCTCCTGGTATGGACCTGTCCTCATCCACCGGTCATCTGGTGGGGTGACCGCCAGCCCGGAAAGGGAAGCGTGGGGGGTACAGACAGGCTTATCCTGACGATGGCGGGGTTGGAAGAGTTTGCCCTCCCAGGCGCAGTGGGGCTGGGGTTACCGTCAGATCCGACAGGGTTTAAACGAGGATGTCGATTCGCTGGTCCTAAAGGATGAGATATACTCGTAAGGTCGGATCTGCAGAAGCCCATGCTTGATGGTAATATAGGCGTCACCACTAGTCGTCCTCTCTCCTTCCATCTCAGCTCTTGTTACCCCTGGCCCCGGAACCTTGTGCAATGTGCACGCCTGTCGCAGGTTCTGGGAGTGCTGACACCTGACGGCCGGTTTGCGAACTACCCGCGCTGCTGGCCCGGGCCGGCCGCTCGGACCTCAATGTGCGGCGCTCGCTCCGCCAGTCCGGGTGCTCCACGCTGCCGGTCCGCCTCTGCCCGTTCCGGCGTGCTCTGCGCCCCGCCATGCTCGGTGTCCGGGTGCTGCTGCGGCTGCTGCCGCCGCTGCTGCTGCTGCTGCTGGCCGGACTGACCCCTCCGGCGGCCGGCTCCCTGTGCTTCTGTGACCGGAAGGCGTGTCCCACCGTCACCTGTTCCGAGGGACGCTCTCCGGTGCCCGACGACTGCAACTGCTGTCTGGTGTGTGGCCAGGCCGAGGGCGAGCGCTGCGGAGGCAACCACGAGCTGTACGGACGCTGCTCGGAGGGACTCGAGTGCCGCCGCCGGCCACCGGGGCTGGGCCAGCCGATTGGACAGGCGACTGAGGGGGTCTGCACTGGTGAGTACCGAGTGCGCTCCGTCCCGCGCCTCTGAGCTTCCTACAGCCGTCACATACCTCCGCGGTCAGCGTGAGATCAAACACCGCGCTACACACCAACTGGCGCTCCGGCCCACAGTCCACTCACTGCTCTACATACTTCTGTCCTCCTCGCAAATGAAGCTAACTAAATGAGAGTTAAATCGGATATCATGGCCACCAAACTCATTCTTCGTCTGTGGTATCTTGTGCCCCAATTGCTCTCAAATTGTGGTTGGTTTTAAAAACTTGGCACGATATCTTATCGGTTTCTAAAGCCATGCAGGGTAAGTAAAGGGAGCTGTCAAGCATATGGCATTTCATATGGCATCTCAGCCTAAATATATTGGAGAAAGATCGTAGCATTTGCAGCACATCATACTTAACGGGGGCCTGATTTTGTTTTGCAAAACGGGGGCCCAAATCTTGCAGTGTTTCGATCCTTATCGCGTCGCTGTATAATGATGATTCCATCGATATAAATCGTACACAGAGGAGATGGGGGATTGAGCTTCCCCACGGGTCAATTGGTAATTTTTGTCCAATAGCAGTGCACAACAAGAAACGAACTCTCGGACATAAATGTTGACGTTTGGCTCACCCCTTGAGTCCGGGCTGGGGCGGTCAGGGATGGGGTAGCCCGATATACTTGTGGCTTCCTATCGAGACAGCCGGCAATATAGTCCTGAATGATGGGAAGAAGATTTTCCGCTTCTGCGCATAACAAAGCCTGTGCGCTCATTCGTGATTATTTTATCACTTCGTCGCCACTCGTGCTAGTATTATCCCATGTGATCCGCTTACTATGATCCGCCCATGGGGTATATATGGCTTCCCTGTCATCAGGAAGATTGCAGGATTCTGATACGATCGCGTGCTCTCTCAAGATTGGTCGGGGTTTTCTCTCATGTTGTCTTTCTTCCCTTCCGACGGCTCTGATTGAATGGATCGAAGTCGTACCAGATGAAGGATATTGGATTCTCAGCGGTGTGCAGGATTAGTGCAATGGGCTTTTATTATGCATACTTTTTATTTGCCAAACTAGGCGCCTGAGTTTGGGAAAAATATGTGCCTTTGATACGTACTGCAGGTGTATCCTGGTCAAAAGCACACAAAGTGGTGTGCTATTCCTCGAACGATTTCGCATATCTCCTCTCCAATTTCTGCGTCAAGAGCCTGTCATCTTTGCTAGCCGGCGTGCTTCTCTTATCAACTACAGTTCACTCATGTGTCCCTGTGTTGTCGCTATGCTCGAACGGTATCGCAGATTGTTTGGTACATTTCCCGTCGCAGTCTGTCTGAGCTATCTCCTCAATGTCAAGGACGATAGTTTTTCTTCTGTCTGGGTATCAAAGCCTGGCTTATATCTAGCTCGCTAGGTCGCAGACGGAGGCGTGGCTCGGAACCGTGACCGAACGGAGACAACAAACGCAACACGCTGTTTGTTGCGACTGAAAAAAAAAACAGCGTGATAGCTCCGGTGGTCCAGCTGGATATGGTGCTTAATCCTTCAAAGTTCATTTCGCCGCGGCGCCAGTTGAAGCCTACATGTTTTTAGACAACTCAATGGCATCCTCGACAGTTAAATAGTGGACAGTGGACTCAGCGCACACTGGACTCACTGACAGTGAGACACTGAGTCAGCGTACGAGTCATCTATCCGGCAAACATGTCGCTGCAAACAACTGAATCACCCGGTGGTCCCAGCAGAGGGGCCACTGCGTAGCCGGGTGTTCTGGAACTTATTATTCATCGCCGGTATACAGTTCACGAAGCGAGCTGTTTGCTGGGCGACCTTAGACATGACCTGTTTCAAGGGGTCTCCCCGGGTTAGTGAAACTGACACGAGTGCGCTTGAGCGTCTGTAAATGAATCATCATTCATCGTGTGGGGTACCACAGCCCTACAATGAGCGTTTTCAGTGGTAAATGAATCGAAGGGACAGGGTATCATGACCCGTCATATGATCGGGGTTCTTTGACAAGGGATCAATGTTGCGTAAAATCGCATAAAATCGCGTAAAATAAAACTGCATCGTCATCAGTCGCTCTGTCTCCTTCTGCGATGCGGGATTCGGCCCGCGGCTGGCGGCTCAGGCGCTGACCGCTGACATTGGCTGAGGCGTCCGCCGGCTGACCGGCGCTGTTTCCGGCCTCACCTGCTCACTCGGCCCGCTGATATCAGCTCGATATCAGCCGCGTGGCTCGTGGCCCGCTGGCGCCCGTCCTAGCGTTGTTATTTACTCGGTCGGAGGGAAGGCGTCGTGACCTCTGACTGACGGGAAGCCTCGAGACTGCCCGGGCTGCGTCACTCACCCCGTGTGATGCGGCACAGCCTACCATTCCAGACAACTGATTACCTGTTAAAAGTGAAACATTATTATGTAGTCAACTGTACAATTAGAGGTGCCCTAACGGCGCAGGTCATTGATGTGGGCGCTGGGTCAGTCGGCTGGTTTTTGCCCGAGACCGGACTTCTGCCCTCCGCGCAGCCCCAGCACTGTGTCCCCGGCGACCTTTTTGTTCCGCGGATAACACGGCGATAAGAGACGCTGTGGTCAGTTTTTGCACGGCGCAGGTAGCCTAATGTGTTTATTAGGGCACCCATTGTCGTCAAGGCGTCGCTGACGACGCACACTGCACAGTACCCACAAATAAGGGTCCTCAGTTCTCAATGATGTTGATGGTACATACACTTTTGATTGCACTGTGAATTAAAATATGCATCGATATTCCCCCAACTCATAATTTGCTCCTTGTGGTCTCTAAATAGAATTATGCAACATGCAACGTATACGTTGTGAACTCATCGACGGGCCTGGGCCAGTCGGGAAAACCAAGACGACAGATCCAGCGAGAACGGCCACAATTGGGCGACCACGCATCATTCACGGCATACACTCCTTGCTGTTGACTCGGGATGATACCCCAGTGGCTGCTACGGTGAGAAACAGATTGGTCCGCACTCCGCAGGGCTTGGGGGAGCGCTATATAGTCGGACAGAACAGCGCAGTGTGCAGTGCCGGCCGAACAAACCAGGTCAGAAGACACGTGCAGCGTTAACTTAGCCGGAGAGCTATCCCGCTGTTTGAAACCCATCTGTTTGAGTCCGAATCCTGTTGGTAGATTCAGTAAAACCCAGAGCTTTCACCAGCACAAGAACTCTAGACTATGAGCTCATCACGACGTGGACACAACTGACCAGCTGTGTACAAACTAGGGGTCAGCCATTCAGCTGGTGCGTTACAAAAACTATGTTGTGGCTAAGTGGGCCGACTATGTTTTCTACTTATATTCTTTTTGTTTCCGGTCACACGGTTTTCTCCAAGCACAGCTACAACCTTGCTGTTACATGTAAATCGTCGCTAAAGTTTCTCCCACTCTGCCAAGTCCTAAGATGGGTCTAGTGGCTGGCCAGCTGGGCTGGTAAACCTGGCTTCAACAATCGCTTCTGCAAAAGCATATTTAATTTGGGGCCGCTACCAACGACCATGGCACTAGCCAGTGACCTGCCATCGCCTGAATACCCTCCTTTGACCTACCGTGACCGGTCAGTGACCTAGCTGCGCCGCTGGTGGGTGGGGCGCCGCGCCGCTGCCGTCAAACACTCCCGAGACAATCCATATTCATGAGAGCTTTTTACTCGTCTGTGGAAAGGCGGCCGATGATGTGTGCGCGCTGGTGCCGGGCTCCCCGCGGCGGTGGACCGGCCCGGCCCTCCGCCGGAGCGGGGTGGGTGAGGCGGCGCACCGGTATTTACTCGTGAGGTGCTCGGCTCCCATGGCTGAGGCTCCGGTCTCGTGAGGATGGCTCTCTTATGTCGTGGTGGCCGACATATTGGGGAGAGAGGGAGGGGCGATGGCAGGGAGCCCAGGTCCTTGCTGATGTCCCTGTCGCCGTCCTTCCGACGTGGTGGCTGGACGACATGTGAGGGTAGAGAAGAGTGATGGTGATGAGTGATGAGAGAGAGAGTAGGTGATGGGAACTCAGCTTTGTCCCGCTATGCGAGGTGCTGTCTCTCAAGGGACTCACCCTCGGTTGTCACCGACGTCAACTACGCCGGGCTTTCAGTGACACTGGCGTTTATAAGCACAATTTGTTCTGAAATGTAACATTATAAGTCAACTGATAATGGTTTTTCTCCGCGGTGAGGGCGAGCGCCGCCCATGTGATTGCGTCATACCGCCCGCTCGTCAGGTCCGCATGACCCGAGCCCGGGTCATTCGCGCTCGCAGCGCCGCCGAGAGCAGTCAGCCACTGAGCCGTGGGCTGAGCGCGGCGCTTCCTGCTTTTCGTGACGTGTCGTGTTTTTTTCGACACTGCTGCTTCTTGACAGCACTGGAGGTGAGGTGTCTTGGAGATCGCATTAGTGATAACTATGTCGATACCTTTGCGGCCGCATTGCCGATCAGCAGATATTGCATCTAGATTCTTTGCTTGGACTTTCCAAGTCTGACTGGTCTCATCGCTGATGACATCTTAATGTTTCGCGTTACGTGCGAGCTTGACAGTCTGTGCTGTGCGCGCAATATTCTCGGCCCTCGTCAACCTCCGGTCTAGCAGCATGATTTTCGCATTTTAGGAGGCTCGTTTGTAAATTACCTAAGTACCTATAGGTAGCACCAATCAAGCAAAACTAACTTCTCGCTGAGTTTTGAGCTGCATGGGACGGTCTAATTCCGTCCCCGCCTACCGGTTTCCTCCCCGTCTGTGCCGTGGACGGTCGCCAGCCGCATCAGCTGCTCATGCCTCGGGGCATTTATCGGCGTCTGGTGCCTGGCCGGCGCGGCCCGGACACTAGTCCGGCCGACCTGCCCACTGGGCCCCCGGGGCATTGACCTACTGACCTCTCTCCCGCATGGGGCGAGTCGCATTGACCAGATTCGGACGCAGATACATAAGTGAGTGATGGACAAATAACTTACAGCTACATCACCACAGCTATTACAGCAGCCTGGCATGAAAATTTTGCCATGGATTAGT